TGAAAGAATTCTATTTCGTCTACAAAACGAGCAAGACGACGATTAATGAATTTTTGAGTTTTAAAATGCTTTAGGGACTCATGGTCTGTCCTCACTAGGATGGGCGAACCTTCAATAAATCCTCTAAAGTGTTTTAAACCGTGGACAATTGCCAGGAGTTCTCGTTCTTGAGTGCTGTAATTTTGTTCGGTCTTGCTCAACTTTCTGGACTCAAATGCTATAGGTCGAAGATTATTATTCTTTAAGTTCTTTGAATATGAGTTAAAATCGAAATCACCTGTTTTCGGTACCTCTGTGAGTTCATCCTGTTGTAACACCGCCCCAATGTTGGTGCCAGATGCGTCAGTATCTAACACAAAAGGTCTGAAGGGTGTCGGGTGTGAAAGTGGTACAGTCTGGGATAGGGCGTTCTTGAGGCTTACAAAGGCGTTTTGTTGACCTTCCCCCCAATCAATCGAAGTCCCCGGCTTCGGGGATCCCTCGGTGAGCTTGTAGATTGGGGAAGCAATCGAAGAGAAACCTTTGATGAATCGCTTATAGTAGGTGCAAAGGTTGAGAAAACCTCGTACCTGTGAGATGTTTGATGGTACCGGCCATTCTGTAATTTTACTGATTTTGTCTGGATTGGTCCTAATCCCGTCACCATCAACCATATGGCCCAAAAACAGAAGTGAATTCCTCCCCCACTGGCATTTCTTTGGGGAGACGACTAACTTGTGTTGTTTCAGAATATGGAAGACTTGTTTAACGTGTTCTAGGTGTTCTTCCGGGGTCCTAGAAAAGATGATTACGTCGTCTAAGTATACTAGCGCAAATTTATCGATGATATCTCGGAGAACATCATTCATCATTTCCTGGAAGGTTGCCGGTGCGTTGCATAGCCCAAATGGCATTACGCACCACTGATAGTGTCCTTGTCGGCAGGTAAAAGCCGTCTTTTCTTTATCTTGAGGGGCCATTGGTACTTGCCAGAACCCGGACTTCAGGTCAATTGTTGTGAAACATTTCGCGCCTGAAAGGAACTGATAAGCGTCGTCAATTCGAGGTAAAGGGTAAGCATTCTTTCGTGTTACTTTATTCAGAGCGCGGTAATCTACACATACTCTTGTTGTACCGTCTGGTTTCTTTACTAAGAGTAGCGGGGAACTCCAGGGCAAGTCCGTTTTCTCGATTATTCCTTGCTCCAGCCCTTCTTCGATGAATTGACCTATTAACTGATGTTCTGGTGGTGTTAGGGGTCTGCCGTGTGTTTTGATCGGGCTGTTTTCGCCCGTGTCAATAAAATGTTTATGCTTTCGTTCTACTTGTTCAATATCTTCTTTAAAACATTCCGGAGCTACCTTGCGAGCGGTATTTTCGAGTACGCTGTGTAGAGCGTCTAGGGCCAATGTGTACAGGTTATTTTCTCTTGGTTGAGGGATGAAAGTGTGTACCATCGGGCCTTTCTCGACCTTGTATTCCATAGTGTCGAAGTTGATTGTCGGTTTGTGTTCTTTGAACCAGGGGATCCCTAAAATGAGTTCTACATTAGGTAAAGGCAATACATAAGCACTTATTTCGAACCTGAAAAAGGATCCGTTGTTGCAATCATCAATTTCTAATTCGAATGTAGCAATCTTGGTTGAAGTTTCGTGGGCTCCGTTTGCTAGCCTGACCTTCTGTCCGTCTGTGTTATTAAGCTTCACCCGATTTGGGTTTAGTTCTAACATCTTTTTGAGTTTGAGTTCAGAGACGTAATTTGCTGCCGCACCCGTGTCCAGAATCGTAGCCAATGGATAGTTTCGGAAGTGACTTGTGTATGTCGGCAGGGACGAGCTTGCGTCATTTTGAGTTGCAAGATCTACTATGTTTAATGTCAATGTCTTCCCTTCGTAGATTTCGCCGTCTTCTAGGCAAAGAATGGCCTCGCTGTCGTAGTCACCTAGGTCTTTTGGTCCGCTGACGGCGTATCCGGAGTACCTTGGTTTTTTCTTGCTATAGCTTAAGATTTTATTCCAATTCTCGACATGTTCGAGCTCCCTCTCTCCTAATTCTTCCCTAGTTCGTTCTTCTAAAGGGGAGTGAAATGGCGTGTTGGTAAAGCCATATCCGTCAATTCGCCTGCCATCCATCTCAATGTCTTGGTATTTAAAGTTTACCTCACCCAAAGGCAGGAGGTGCAAGTCTTGGATACCGCTAGTTTTTGTATTATCCTCGACTGAAGAGTCTGGTGAGAAGGGTAGGTTCGACATATCGATGTTGGCCAACACGGTTGGAGTCGTTGGGGAGTATTCGGGGCTGGGAAGACCCATGTAGCCGGAGTAACCGGATGTGAGTATGGGACTAGGGTGTACGGGGATAGGATTACTTCTAGTGCCTTCTTCTTCTGGGTCCTCTTCAAATGGTCTCTTCATTAGGTTGTTTACCTGGTCGGCATCTAGATTAAAGTAGTCAAGGCCTTTAGATCTGGTTTCTGGGCTATCCTCGTTACCAAAGATGAGACATGACTTACAGCATCGGTAGGAGAGGTCCTCAGCCTGTTCTTGGAATAGCCTGGTTAAAGCCTCTCGTTCCCTTGCAAGTTCTTCTTTCAGTTCAGGCTTCTTAAGTGTTTCTTGATATGACTTGACTTTTGATTCGAGGTCTTTTCTCCCGTCTTGATTTGGATCGTCGAGACTGGAAGTGGATTCCTTAGAAGCTCTGATCATTGTTCCGTTTGGTCCTATAAACGGAGTAGTCTCCATTCCTTGGGATGTTTTCTGGTCCATGTCAATCAACAGTAGGCTCTGTTTTCGTCGGTCTCCGTTTGAGTAACTTGATTTCTTGAAACTTGATTTGAACGGCTTCCTAGTATTGGTGCAGTCTCGGGCGAGGTGGCCGTGCCCGTGACATTTAAAGCATTATGTTTGTGGGGTAGCTTGAGTTACTTTTGTTTTGTCCATCAAATCTAAATCCATAGGACCCGAGGTATTAGTCACTGGGGGTGGTCGTCCGAAGGTGGATGGTCTATGGTGGAATGAGTTTCGAGGGAAGTGATGGTTCGAGTGGTAGTGGTTGGTTCTTCTTTCAGGTAGGAATTTATTATCGGTGGATTTAAAACTACGGTTGTTTACCTTAATATTTCGACCTCTTTCTCGAGCGGCTGCAAAGATGACTTCCATATCTTCCTTGGCGGTGAATTCGATTTTATTAGCGTGTTCTCGAATCGCAACTGGTAGTTTATCGAGGAAAGCGAATTTCCGGTCCAGGAAGGAGTATTTGTCTGTTGGGATCTGACAGGAGAGTCGTCTGAAGCGAAGGATGTAATCATTGAGATCATTTTTATAATAACATAGTTTTATTTTCTCTCTGATTTCATCTATAGTTAAGGCGAAGTTGTATTTTTCAAGGAACCTTTGTCGGAAGTCTTGGTAGTTGTTCACTGATCCGCCCATATCTTCTCTGGCCTTGTACCAGAACATCTTTGATTCTTCGTCTAGATAGGCGCCTAACATTTCGCCCCATTGTTCTTCTGGGTATCGGTGAAGTCGGAAGTTGGATTCCAGATCGAGGATCCAGAGTTGTGCGTTGTTGCCGTAGGCTTCGAACTTTCGAGGTTCGGCTCGAAAGGCATCGGGTTTCTGGTTCCTGATTTCCTGGTTACGCTTGAGCTGTTCAATGACGGTTTTCGCGTCGGCTAATTCTAAGGCTTGTTGTTGATAAGCCTGTTGGTATTGCTGTCGTAGTTCAGCAATGGCTTGTGCGCTATTTTGCGCGTCTAGATTTGTTTGTTGGAGTTGTGCTCGGATAACTCGTATGTCCTCAGCGGGGACGTGGATATAGCCATTTTGTTCGTCCATGTTTTTTTTTCTTTGGTTTTCTATGCGTCGAAAAGGAATTCTAATTAATAAATTTTTTTAATTGATAAGACTTGATCAGAGCCTTCTTTAAGAATACGTACGTGTAATAGTTTTATAAATTTATCTATGGACTTTGGGTTCCTTAAAAGGTGGTGCACGGTTTGCTGACTTGGTTTGTTAGTTTTGAATAGGGGTCTGTTGTTTTCCTTGGATCTAACCAATCGAGAGGAAGTGGAATTTGCAAGCGGATTCGAATGACTAGCTAGGAGATTCGGATTGGCTTACAGCTGGTGGTGTGTTAGAGTGTGACGGATAGTGTTGGTAGTTGAAGTTGGGGTCGATTTGGTGGTTTGGTAAGCACTATGTTGTTGTTGTTTTTCGGAAAGGTCACAAAGTTAATAACGCAATTCCTTCGATTTGGGTAGGGTACTTATTAGAGGAAAGGAAAAGAAATTTTACTAACAAATAATTATTTGTTATTTCCAATAGGACTCGGTTCGGTGAATCTGATGGAGAAGCTGCTTGGGGTTCTATTCCACAAGCAAGGGATGGGCGCCTTATATAGGCGTCCATCTCTGCAAAGTACAAATCTACTATAATAATAAATCAAAAGGTCCTTCGTTTAAAAAAAATGCCTCGACACTCTCATAATATTGTTGCCTCCTGAAGCCCACCTATTACCCTGATCCGCCACCTCGGCTATGCCCACCCGCGCCTTTACTACGTGCCCAAGAACAAGCTGCTTGCCATGCAATCTATTTTTATTGCACCGCAGCATTACTCAATCTGCGCTCTGCTCTATGGCACTCTGAATCATACCACTCTAATGCTTCAATTCAGTGTCACGTTAGAAAAACGCCTTCAACACTTGTTCTCCCCAGAGTTTTTCAAGTTCCTTATGTTCCGAGCACGCAAACGTTGCACCCACTGTATCACCCCATATACAACGAGCTCAATCAACACGACTTCGAGATGGAAGTCTGGGTAAACACTACCTAAACATATTTTCATAACAACTTAACACTCATGGCCACATGTCACTCATCAGCATGCCATGCGGTTACATTCGCTATTCTATTCTTCTTCATTATCTCAACACAAAATCTAATAAACCACAAAAGAAAACACACTGTCCCACTAGCATTACACAGAGCTACGCTATACGCATTCAAAAACAAACAACTACCGATCACCACCGTAATAACTATCGAATGCTCCAGCGTCCTCCGTCTGATCGACGACAATCGTATAACAGCACTCGAGTACATATCTCCATGTCGTTCATGAAAGTACCGAGATCGATTCGTTCCCTTCAATTCGAGAAAGAAGCTCGACGCTTGCGTCCGGTGGTTCAGTAACCACTGGAAGCGTAATCTAGAACTCTTGTGTGCGTTACAATTTGTCTAGCTAGCTCCAGTCGGGGTTCGTCAAGAGAACAGAATCAAAATCAGAACAATATAAGATGAAATGTAATAGAATAAAGATGACTCTTACCTAGCTCCAGTCGGGGTTCGTGAAGAGAAGAGAACCCAACGTGGAGCCAGGGTTAGTGAGAGTAAATAGATTGAACCCGTCTAAACCCATGCTGTATATGTCCTTAACACATCCTTACAGTACCGAGATCGATTCGTTCCCTTCAATTCGAGAAAGAAGCTCGACGCTTGCGTCCTTGCGTCGGGGGAATGACGGTTGCTTCTACATCGGCACCTCGAAGCTACTCAAAGTCAGTACAGGCCCTTAGCGTAACTAGACGAAGCTTACTTCTACAACCCAATTCCGACTACGATGGACATATCCAATGACTACACCTCGCAAGTTGACAATATTTCCGACAGTAAACACCGCTTCACCAAGTCTTGTTACCAATTCTGCCGTCGCTTCATACGCAACAGTGAAATGTGCAGCACGCCCTAACTAAAACTCCGTTAGTATCAGAATGTCAGAACAATACGAAAGCCTCTTACACTTTTGTCCCACAGGTTGTGGAGTGCGATGATTATCCATCGATCGTAATCGCCCTCCGGAACGGTACATCAACTCATACGCACAACATGACCTCGACTTTGTACCGATAAGATTGAAAGTGGCGCCGGAAGTTGAGACGCGTAACTACCTAGCTCTACCACCGATTCAGGCGTCACCATGATAATCGTATCGCGTTGCCGACTCCGTGCAAGAATTTCCCCAGTTAACCAAACGCAACGTCCAGCCGCAACCGAAGGAGCACTCTGTTGTGCATGCACAAAAACCATTGAATGGGTACGTCTATTCACTCGAAGGAAAATAGGACTTTGATAGCACAGTCGAGTCCCTGGGCCACTGCACTGTCGAGGAACCTGAAGACGCCGAACTATCAGCAACATCACTTTTACGTTGTTTTCACACACCTCTGAATCCAGCCTGAAAACTCCACTCCAAGTTACTGTTAGACGCGAATCATTGATGTTTGCCATCGAGTCGTTATGAATGATCGTAAATAATAAGAAGATGTAACCCGTAGGAAGGATGACATATTGCAAAGCAGGAGGGACGTCTTTTATGAGCTGAAAATGTTAGCTCGCGTCAAGATTCACCTCCCGCCCCGATCCTTGCATAACACTTCCACGCGTCGTCGTAATTAACACAATGTCATGCACAGGAAAAACTGAAACCGTCATATATCAACATCTAAAGTAAGCCTACCCAAAAACATTGCTCAACGCGCTACCTCGCATCCTTCATTATTATTCAATACTTCATCGCGCCCTACCTCCATCAAACAACACCATCGGTATGCAATCTAATGAAGACCTCCCACTCACCATGGATGGTATTGTCGAAATACGCACCCCAGTGAGTCTCGCTGTACAAGAGATACGCGTCCCGCTGTCGAAGAGATACGCTTGAGCTAACAGTCAATGCAGCCTTCCGTGCACACTCGCGGAGGCACAACAGACTATCATTACAAAGTCAATGCAGCGCACCCCTTTATCAGTGATTGTCACTCTCCTTTCAATCTTTCGTCTACACGAATTGCCCCTCTCGACACTGGCATAACCATAGCTTTTTCTGGTACCGTCTTTGTCAGCCAATACCAGGCCAATCTGATTGTTAACGTCAACAGTGGTCTCTTAGCTCCGGTGCCTATGCCATCCGAAGCTCTCCCGTATAGCCCCAATCTCATCAATGTCTCGGGGCGAGGTCGAATCACGCAGCGTCGCCCAATTACACTAGATCAAAACACAAACCAATGGTGGCTTCTTATATTAACACACACTGCATTCATTAGTAGCGTAAGTCTGTTCTCATGTTCTCTATGTGATTTCTGCTCATACCTACCTTCAGCTTGATAGATTCGTCGAGTTCGAGATACACTACGTTGATAATCAAGAACATATCGCCCAAATGAGAGGTTTGCATTGCGAACCTGGAGCAACCGTCTCGTTGGAGGGCATACTCATCACATACGCCCAAGATGCCAGAGTTTGGATCGCCATGGTAAAACGCAAACCCTCTCATGCTCCAATACTTGACGCTGACACTGCCCTTAATTACAGACTACGAATATCATCTCGTAAAACCGAAGACACCACCGCGTTTTCCCCGTTCTCAAAATACTAATATCATCTATATATGGTTCTGCTTTCCACAGGCCAGCGTCAGAAAGAGTCACAACTGCGTTGAGCAACGCCGCGTCACGCTGGCAAGTTGTTAAACCGACTGTAACGATATCATAAAACGTATAACATAACCAGATTCGTATCAATATCGAAATTCGTAAACACACTCCAATGTTATGTGAGGCAAAACTTATTTATTCTGTACTCCCCATGCCTGGTCAGGTAATCTATTAAAACTATATAACCTTCACAAAAAATGCGCTCCCACGTGCTCAAGGATCGCACTTAACCCTATCACATAATGCAATTTACCGTGACCATTGCATACCACCTTAAGCAATATTCTCCCTACAACGCGCGTTCCCAGTCACTCCTGCCCTTAAAGCGATACAGCGCCTATACCCACTAAGGCGAGAGTTAATCTTACAACATTGATCGCCTACCTTGGGCCAATCCCACGATGGTAGAACATCGACTGCTCGCCGTCCGTGTAAGTGAAACCTATCCATGTGCCATCATAAGCCAATACGCCTGCAAACTGTATCTACCCCAGGCCTAAACATAGCGCTACGCCCGTACCTCATTTCAAGCCCATACAACGTACTCTCAGGATCGTTCAATTGTAAATTTGCCACAACGCAGCTGCCTCGACGGGTGAGAGCAGTCTACCCACCGCCCCAATTTAAACCAGTTGAGTTAGGACCACGTACAAATTTTGCAAGCCGAATTACGTGTTGGCCTGGTAAATCAACCAGCCCGATCCATCACCACGCTTACAAAAGACTATCAATTCGACCTGCCGAACGCCCCAGACTACCTCGACCGCTCAGCACGCGACTGCCACTACCGATAACCCCACATACGTGGTGGTTATAAAACCTCCTCATCCGTATGCCCATCTGCCGTGTCACTATCCCTCTGATATTTATCATAAAACACCGCGTAAATACCCTGCACATCCACAATCTGTCAATTTCATACCCTAGCATAAAGACACCACACACCACCTCCAGACATCTACTATCGGCTCTGGCAGCCCTTTCCCTACGACATGTCCAACGCATCCCGACGTTCCCACCCTGCCTACGCCTCCAATAACTTCGAAGTAACCGGCGAAGTACGTTCACAAATAGATTTGCTATGCCTCTCGCAATGCTGACACGCCATGCAGCATGGTAACACTCTCACTGCCCAATCCGGCTTCCGTACAGTTGAATCAGGTATCAATTGCAGCGGCATAGGTACAGACGAAGCTGCGGAGCACGCCATACTCCTAACTGCCTTCTCTGGATTAGGCGTTGGGCTCTCTGTGGGTGAAATGTATGGCCTCAAATGCAAAATAATCGCCCCAAATCTCCCTCGGCCTCCGTATTTCATACATGAAATGTCTCATCATGTTCACGTTGGCAACGCAGAAAC